AGTGCGTCAAAATTAATGGCATCAAATCTGGGATCCAAAAATGTAATATGGGTGTACCACAAGGGTCTATTTTGGGCCCATTACTTTTCTGTTTGTACATAAATGATATGCCAAACATCTGCAAAGATGCCATCTGTCAAATGTATGCAGATGATACAATAATTTATGTTGCAGCAGACACACCTGAAAAGGCCTCTGATCTGTTAAACAAACAATTGTGCATCTTATCAGAGTGGCTCCAAAATAACTGCTTAACGCTGAATTACACCAAGACTGTCTCCATGTGTTTTTCCCTTAAGAAAATTATAAACAATGATCTCAAAATAATTATTAATCAACATGAAATAAAGCCGGCTGGTGAATTTAAGTATCTGGGTGTAGTTTTAGATTCAAAATTGAAATTTGATGCCCATATTAACAAAATGACAAAAACTATAAAGACAAATATAAACTGTTTTCGAATGATTCGGCCATATGTATCAAATCAAGCTGCACAAGTATATTTACATGCAATGATTTTATCCCATATGTCTTATTGCGCTATCGTTTGGGCCCAGGCCACAAAGTCTGTTTTAAAACCTTTACTCTCACTTCACAAGCAAGCATTAAAAATATTCGATCAAAAACCGGTGAAGTGGCATCACTGCAAAATTATTAAAAAACACAATATGATGACGTTTGAAAATTTTATAAATTTCTCATTTTTAAAAGCAATTTTTAAATGCCTTAATGGTCTTGCCCCTGAGGTAATCTGTAAATTTGTTTTAAAGTATGCAAATGAAGGAATCAGGACAAGAGCTGGAGCTAGTGGGAACTGCAGGATTAAAAGAAGTCGGACATCTATGGGTCAGTCTGCCTTCTCAGTGAAAGCATCACATCTCTGGAACTCTTTGCCTCTGGAGCTTAAGTCACAGACTGATATTCGACTTTTCTCCACAAGATTGAAAAAATGGTTCAAAGACAAACAAGAGTGTGAGCACTAAACTGGCTTGTACTGTACATTTTTGTTTTAACTTCTCTTGTTTTTTTGTGTGTTTTTATGCATTTGTGTGTCGTTTTTAACCTCCCTCTCCCTCAATGCTAACACCTTTTAAAAGCCTAACCAGGGACGAAGGCTGCAAATTAGCCCATGGCTACAAGCCTTATGTACTTGGACATCGGCCACCTGTTTGGTTGCAATGTTTAATTGTACTGTCCCTGTCAAATAAACAAATAAATAAAAAAGATGGCCGCTCACACAGAGCCTGGTTCTGCTGGAGGTTTCTTCCTGTTAAAAATGAGTTTTTCCTCTCCGCTGTTGCTACAAGCATGCTTGGTGCAACGGATTAACTTTGAGTCAATAAGTCGATGCAATCAGCTGGTGTTCCTTTAAAAACTTTCACCAATCACCAATCAGACGTTATGATCTGGTTGAATTGTCTCTGTAAAGTGCCTTGACATGTGCTGTGAATTTGCGCTATATAAATAAACTTTGTTAAATTTAATTCAATTAAACTACTATCCATGTAAATATTGACTAATCCAGTGGTTCCCAAAGATTTTCTTCTGGGCCCCCCTTTGGATTACAATAAAATGTCCACGCCCCCCCCATAACCCCCCCGACCCCAAAAAAAAAAAACAAAAAAAAAAAAACAGATATAATAAATCTATACACATATTTTGTTTTCAAACTCCACTGAAGTTTATTTCACACTTCAGGTTGCAACAAAACAAACACCATCTTTACAGTGGAACACTTTTGTGTAACTGTATTTTTTTCATAGTTCTATACTGTAGATTAGAAGAGGATTCTTTGTTGTCTGTGTTATTTAAAACATATTTCTTTTTTTTATTTGTAACAATATTTAACTTTGCTATAATCTATACATTAAAAAAGCCTCTGTGCAAAATGGAGTGAAAACATTGAACAGCTCCCTGAGAGTTTTTTCTTTGTACTTTAATCCTCCCATCTTTTCAGTGGCTGTAGTGAGCCTGCTTTTTGCTGTAGATCTTCTCAAATCTGGCTTGCAGTGTCACAACTGTCCATTATGCTCAGTTAAGCAAGCGCTGTTTTTTATTTTATTTTTTTTTTCTTCACTCATACCGCTTCCCGCGCCCCCCCTGCAATGGCATTGCGCCCCCCCTAGGGGGCGCGCCCCACACTTTGGGAACCACTGGACTAATCTATGAGTGCAGATTGAATACTATCAGGCACCAAAGATATCACAACCATGAGTGCACACTTCCTCTCTGCACTTGGTGGTTTGCATTTTATACACCTATAGATTAATCTTACTCGTGTGTGGACCAGTTTCTGTGCGCTTGTTTCCACCTTTGTCACTCTGAAGGTGTCACCCACCGGATAAAGCAAGTTGTCTGTGATTGGCTACCTTTCAGGAAATCCTACTAGCAAAGCAACTTTAGGCTACCCGCTTCTTGTAAGCAAAAGCTGTAAGGCTGTAAGCAAAGACGACATTAAATATAATATGGGCTAGATCAGGGGCCTTCAACGTTTTTCAGGCCAAGGACCCCCAAACTGATGGCGAGATGGAGCGGGGACCCCCTAATTATGTATATTGTGTGAAATTGTGTTCCATGAAACTGATCCTATTGTCACTCTATTACAGATGGAGTAATGTAAGGAAAGCAATTTCTCTCTGGGATTATTAAAGTATTTCTGATTCTGATTCCTCGTTGATGGGACAGGTGTTGTGAATGAAACGGCGCCCAGCTTGAAAGAGCTCCAGTGTGTCGCTGAATGTGTGCATTGATGACTGAAAGACATCTTCTGCCTCCATTTATCTCTTTACTACAGTGTATTGAATTCATGTTAATATGAACCTAAAGACATTTTAATTTGTGGAAAAAATTGCTGGGGGTAATATAAAAAAAAAAAGTCTAATGAACCAAAACTTTCACGACCCCCATGAAGTACCTCCACGGACCCCCTAGGGGTCCCAGACCCCCTGTTGAAGACCTCCGGTCTAGATGAATACTGTTCCTTAAAAAGGGTTATAGGTAGGGCTCAAACGATTAATCTGATTAATGGATTATTGAATTAATCTTCACTTAATTTAATAATAGGTTAATCGTCAAATTGCTTATAGAGACTCTAAAACATGGATTTACCTGACAGAGCAACCACCTTAGAGCAGCAATTATATCAAAATTGTAAAAAAAATATATGAATATTTTGTATTTAAGATAAAAAACATTTTTGTCTGTCAATATGCTCTATCCAGAACTCCTCAGGTGGAAACGTTTTAATTTTGGAAAATAACCTTTATGGAACCTTATGCTGTCCGATCATTAATTGAAAAAATAATCGATAGATTAATCGATTTGCAAAATAATCGTTATAATTTCATAATCATCCCAGTTATAGGACAACTACAAAAAAAAAGTTACAGTCAAATAGCCCAATAGTTTATGTTAGCTCAAACATTAGCTGGAAACGGAAAGATAGTTTACGCTTGTTACCTTGGCAATGCATCACAAATCAAGATGCAGGATTTCCTGAAAAGTAGCCAATGGCAGGAAGGTTGCTTTGTCTGGTGAGTAACGCCTTCAAAGTGACAAAAGCTGACAGAAATGAGCAGAAACAGGTCCACGCGGTAGGAGGAGGGAGGATAAGCGCATGTGGAAATCAAACCACACATGCAAAGAGAAGGAATAAACACTAATGTGGTTCATATATTTGGGCCCCAGGGTGCTCTATTTACGTATGTAACATGTTAAACATGTGCACAAAAGCAAGAGAGATAAAGGCAAGGAGGGAGCATTGCCTTAGAGAGGAGCCACGTGTGCATTTTGCACACAAACACACAAGACTGTTGTGACTATAGCATGACTCAGCTGATTTATATAGGTTCAGTGCAGAGCTAAAACAGGAGTTCTTAGGAGCAGGGCTGTTCTTCTGCAGCGTGTTTTCTGTGATCTTGTGTGCATGTATGTGGATACAGATGTATGTAAAACCTTTCAGAAGTATTTACATCCTTTAAGCTGTATTACATTTTGTCATGTTGCAAACATAAACCTGGAAATATTTAATTGAAAGCTTAAATTATAGATAATATGGGGCACGATTATGAAGTTAAAAAAAACAAATAGAGAATCAAAAAACTATAGCATGCATAAGTTTAGCCCAAAGAGACTAATTGCTTGGTACATCCTCGAGAACTCTGGCTTTAAGATCAATGCCCTGCTGGAAGGTGAACCTCCACTGCAGAACAAAAACATCCCCACAGCATGCTGCTGCCCTCACCATGCTTTATTTTGGGATGCGATGTTTAGGAGAAGAGTTTCAGAACATTTCAGCCTGTGATCCCAAAATAACTATGCAACAGACTGGTGACCACTTAAAAATACATATGACTACTTTACGCAATAATCATTTATACATATGAAGAGAAGTAATGGTATTCATTTTTAAATAGATTTCTTTTATAATGAGATTACATTTTTTACCTCATAATATTACATTTTTAAGTTCGACATTTAATTATTTAATTGTGCACTTTGCAATTTAATGGTATGTTTATTATCTGAATCATGTATTAGATAAATAAATCTATTTTATGGCATGTTTATTTATTTTATAGGACCTTGATATTTAGTATTTTTTCTCCTACAACTCATGACCCCGCCCACTTTGGGAGCCCCTGGTTTAGGGTGATTTACAGTGTTGGTTTTTCACCTCAACTAAGTTTAAATCTCTGGGTGCTGTTTCTTACACATGAATAACTTGTGCAATTTTTTGAGCTTTTGAAGTGACCTAGTTGGACTAGATTTTATTTAGAAGCATCGAGGCAAATAGGGCGGATCTTATTAGAAGATCTGTTTAAATCAGTGTGCTTACTTTCCTCAGGGTTCACAACTAGATTTGAACAACTCGCTGTGTGATCAAAAACTCAGGAAAGAAGTGTTTGTTATACATTTTTTTTCATGGTGTTTTAAAATTCACAGATAAAAACTATAACCTTACTCTCTACAGTGCCACTATAGCACTCGTTTACCCTCACCTGTGTGCAGGTATCCGCCTTTCTCCAGCCACCAGAATGACATCACATAGCTGCCTGCTCCTCAGGTAGCCCTCCATCTTGCGGAAAGTGACATCAGCATGAGACATAGCAGTAAATAAGGACTCCTCTGGACAGGCGCATGGCTCCATGGACACGCATGAGGACAGGGTTGCGCTGCTGTTAGATGTCCTGCGGGAAAACACGCAGGCACAGAGAAATTACTGAATGTAAAACAAGCCCAGAAAGCTACATATAAAATGAACTAGATTTGCCTCTTGCCGATTTTGTTTTGTTCGCAACACAAACAGCAGCTGGTCTGGGGTTTCGATATCAACACATTTCCCTTTGCATCATTTCCTCACATGTAGTCACATTTCTACAGGCTTACCATATGTTACCAGGAGTATACAAAAGCCCTTTAATGGCTCAATTACCAGGAGTAAATGGACAGATAAATTCAACCCACTTTAAAAGAGAACTTGGCAATTAAATCACTGCAGGAGCTGAGTCTGATTCATTCTGCTGGTTTCCTTCTGTCTATTACCATAAAAAGGTTTTTCCACCTCAAGACCTTATTTTCCATTTCTTAAGTTTTATTTTCAAATCAGAAGCTGACAAGGCCTGGGTGGTAGTTTAATTACACAGAACTATGTCAAATATGTGGGAAAACAGCCTTTTTGTGGCTTTTCGAGAGAAGTGGGGGGTGAAAGCTGTACTTTGGATCAGAAAACAACAGCTAAAGAGGCAGGATTGGCCCGTAAGCATATATAAAAAAACTAAACATTTCAAGGACAAAACCATTTCAATAATTCAGTTGTGACAGTAATGACCCTCTTTTACATATTTGCAGTGTCTTTATGTTAGTCTGACTACAGCTCTGGGTGCTGGAAATCACATGGGGTAGAATAAAATGACGGATCAGGAGAAGCGCATAGAACTGGAAAGACCAAAAACATCTAGTCATTATCAGATTCTTCAATCATATAGAATGATCCTATAAAGTATTGATTGGCAAATTGAAACATTTGCAACTTGATTAAATAAAAGCCTTATTTTTTCCTGGAAGATAAATATTCCAAATTTAATATATTAATAGAAATGTAGTTATTCTTCATAAGGAATAAAAGTTGCCTATGATTTATTACCTACACTGATCATGAGGAGTAATGCTCTGACACATTCCTAAATTAGCAGCAGTCTCTGCTGCTGCTTTCAGCTCCATATAACAGATGTCCCATCTTTCTGTTTTAGATTTATCTTTTTATTTTGTTTTTTTCTTTCAGGCAAGCAGACAGCAACCCCCCCCCCTGTTGGCTACCCACTCAACACAAAACACTGCAGCTTGACAGTGAAACCAGAGCTCCGTGTCGCTGAGATTCAAGAAACCGCTTTGGAACCGGTTCTTTCCATGTTTACACAAGTTCAAGGACTTTCCAAATGGTACGCTGGCAGTGCAGCGATGATGAATTGGCCGCTATACATTAGAGAAATATATAAAATCAGTCTCATAAGAAGAAAAGCTGTTCTGGATGTTCAGCATCCACTGGGCCATCTAACAGATAGTGACACAGAGGATTCCACTGCCACAGTGTGGGGGGGTGGGGGGGTCTCTTTAACTTTTGTTAGACTTAACTTATAGAACAGCTGTCCTGAAGAGAAGGTAGCAATGAGTTCAGATATTTTCTTTTAAAACAAACTAAAAACAAAATCCTTTAATTATTTAAATCAAGTTTATAGCAAGTTAGTTATCAGTTAGTGTTGTTATCTTCTGCAAGTTTCATCAACTTTTACACAATACATTTAAAATGTCCCTTTTTATAATTAAAGGTGATAATAAAGAACTGCGATATAGTTTAAAAATAATGTTCAAAATTCGTTATTATATGCACTAACTATTATATGGTCTAACTAGTGTTTTTCTTATATCAATTCATCAATTTTAATCTGATTCTTTAAGTAACTTAAAAATAATTCTCCACTGTTGAGGTGCTAATCTAAATGATTACTTATCAATTATACCTCACCTGTATGACTGAGTTCCTTTTGCTTTTTATTCCTCATTTGCTCTGATGATCCATATTCACCTTTTTTATCCATCTTTGATCATCGAATTTTGTGTGTATTTATTATCTACATATATGCCTTTCAGTTTGTAACCTCTGTGAAGCAACTTGTGTTATACCTTAGTCTCTGTAAATGGTTTTATAAACAAAGCTTGACTGAGTCACGTATGCACACACTCATACCCTAAGGGTGGAGAGAGAGACCAGCTACGTATGCATTTAGACTGGAGAAGGAAGGGAGACAATCCGGTGAAAAACTCATGAATGCCTGAGAACATGGAAGCTACACATAGAGACAACCCAGGCTGAGATTAAAACCGACAACCTTCTACAGTTGATCTGATAATACAATTTAAAACTTGATATCGATACCAAGGAAAATATTCATATTTATTCGATAGAATGGGAATAAAAAATGCCATTTAATTAAAAACATCAAAACATTTTTGTAAACATGAAAAACCCACTCTTTTCTGCCTCAACATAGAACGTGCTATTCCTGATCGGGACGTGGTCATGAGAGGCTAATCAACCCTTGTGTAGGTACTACGCTACGCAGGATGCCTGATGAAGCTGAAACGACCTGAAAAAAATTCTTCCATGCATCAAAAATCATCCAAAAAAAGCTAAATAAATAAATAAATAAATACATCTTACAATATATTCCCACCCTTATGGCTACCATAATCAGAAGTGGAGTTGTACATACTGTGCTTCACCATTTATTAAAATGCATGTATAAATGGCACCTGTAAGGAGACATGCTTACAATGTATTTAAACTCAGGCTTTCAGTAGTGCAGTAGAACGTTGGAACAGAGCAGCTGTGTGAGAATTCAACATTTATTTGGAATTGAGGTAATTTTTTAATGTGCAAAAAAACTAGAAATCTATAATTAACAAAAGCAAAAATATGCAAATAACACTCATTTATAATAGAATACAATAGAACAGAAAATCCCTTTATTGTCCCACAATGGGGAAATTTTGCTGTAAAAAGATAAATCTTTCTGCCACGCTTTATGCCGAGTGGGGTCGCGAGTGGTGCTGTTGATTATCTCCAGCCATCAACGAGCGAGAGGCGGGGTACACCCTGGACAGGTCGCCAGTCTATCACAGGGCAACACAGAGACAAACAGGACAGACAACCATTCATGTACACATTCACACCTAAGGAGAATCTAGAGAAGCCATTTAACCTAAGGAGTACCCAGAGAGAACCCACGCATGCTCAGGGAGAACATGGAAACTCTATACAGAAAGACCCCGGGCCGGGAATGAAACAAATGAAATGGTCACAAAACTGTGGACCCTAGAAAAATGTATAAGAATAACATAATAGTGAAGAGTCTTTCTGGATGGAGCTGCATGTTCTCCCTGAGCGTGGGTTCTCTCCGGGTAATCCGGCTTCCTCTCACAGTCCAAAAACATGAATATTAGGTTAATTGGCTTCTCTAAAAATTCTCCCTAGGTGTGGGTGTGTGCGTGAATGGTTGTTTGTTATTTAACTATGATAGTAACTGTGCAAAATCAGCATGAATGTAACAACTTATTGAGGTTGTTGGGAACAGTGGTGGTTATAGAGTCTTACAGCTGTTGGGAGGAAGGATCTGTGATAACGTTCCCTGGTGCATTTAGGGTGCAGCAGTTCTGCAACAGCTTCATTCAGGGGGGTGATATTATCCCACAGACATATTAATTTAGCTAGGATCCTTTTGTTTCCCACCTCCTGCACGGAGTCCAGAGGGCATCCAATCACAGAGCTAGCTGGTACTCCAAGTTTGTGGTGACCGACCAACTTTAATAATATTACTGCCACCTACAGGGCTGGAGTGAGAAAGTCCACATCTCACAATTAAATAAAATAGTATCCAAGTTTATTGCCTTCGCGATTTGAAAATTGGGACATCGATGTGGTTAATGTTGATAAGACAATGTCAGATCAGTGAACCATTTTTAAAATTATAACATGTTACCCTGTGGATTGTTAAAACATATTTTACACCACCATTAACAAACAAAAAAGGTTGTGCATACGGAGAGCCTAGAGGATATTTATTGCTTGTGTAGTCTGATGTGTGTTTTGTGTGAGTCCCATTTTACTCTGGCTCTGTCTGCTCTGTGTCCTGTCTCCACTTCTCCAGTTAATCTCATCATTCGCTCACTTCATTCTACCTCGTATCATCATCCATCCATTCCTCCATCCATTTCCCCTCTTCCCACATCTTCAACCAACCCTTTGAGGAGGCATTCTGGCTCGCTTCCCTGCCCTCAAGTGTGCAGAGCTGTGTGTGCACGTGTTTTTAAAAAGTGTGTATGTAGATGAATGGTGTGGCTAAATACTGCCAGAGGGGACAGCTTTGAAGTGGGGGAACGCTGCCTTCCAGTCCCCTTAGCCGAGTCTGGCAGCCACTTAACAGGGACATAGAGAGACGGAGTGGGAAAAGGAGAAACAAGAGAGAGTCTCACCACAGAGCTGGATTTGTTTTAAACCCCCTGCACAAGTCGAGGGCATTCATCCAAACGTCGTATAGTCTCCAAACACACAAATGCACGTCCAGCCACCTTACAGCATGAAAAAAAAGATAAACTCTGGACAGAAGGTGGGAGACGGTAAGTCAATGAGGCACACTAATGATAAATGTGGGGTGTGAAACTAGAGGAAAACAACAGGATACGATGAAATTCTGCCACCCTGGTTCATGGACCATTAAATTATACACAGATGATCTCTGTGGAGGCGATAAGCTGCATTCAGAGCAGTATGAATATATGCATAAAAAAACAAAAACAAATACACCACTCACTGTATACACATGTATGAACCAAAGACCAACGGCTGCGTTGGTATGGCAACCATAAAACGTGCAGGGATGCAGCTGGATGCCTGTGGATGTAACATGAATGCATCAGATCAAACTCTGTTACACCTGTGTTGTCTGTTTTGAAGTATTTTTTTTTCTTCCAAGCTTTGCTTGACACAGATAATATACCCTTCACGTAAAAAAATGCAGTTCTCTTAACTGACAGAATTATAGATTAACAGTGACAACAAAGAGGCTTAAAATAAAAAAGCCTCAGATATTTGAGTTTCAGAAAGTACATCAGTTTGGTCATCTGAAAGCTCTTTCAAAAGCTGTATGTAGGTAGCTATAGGGGGGATTGTGAGTGCATGGTGCCCTGTGAATCATTTCCATTATCTGATGATGATCAGATCAGGCCACTGATAGGAGGCTTGTGAACACAGAGATCTTTTACAGACTAATAGACCAGCAATACCGCCTTTCTCTCTACCTTAACTTCTTAAACATACCATAATTGCATGTAAAAAGATAAGAGCTACTATTTTTCCCAAGTCCATGCCACAAATTAATTAAATGTCCCTGAACACCAATACAGCCAAATCTTCGCACTGGTGTAATGTAGAATTATAACAATAGATTTGCACTCATCAGGCTACTGCAGTTTTCTTCAAGGTCTGACCTGCAGGTTTTAATGTTTGCAACACATGAAAGGAAAATGTGTCTTGTGTTCTTCATGGAGGGAGATCTGAATCAAACATGGACATTTCAATTCAATGCATTCATACATACCATGCCAAAAAACAACAACCCTAAAATGTTAGAACTGTAAATATGCAGTCATGTGTTTATATTACTGTTTTTATGTATTTTCTTTTTTACTATTTTTTATGTATTTTTTTTCAAGGCTGCACTTTAAAAAAATTGAAGTTGTCTGTTCTTAATGAACATTTTTTTTGTTTACATTTGTGAACACAAAATTACAAAATAAATCTGTCTAAGTCTAAGTCAAAGATTCACAACACATGTCATTTCAAGGGATTTTATATAGACAATTCAATCAGATCATAAAGTGATCTGATAGAATTAATGAAATTAATGGAAAATGTAAAAAAGCACCTTCTATTATTAATGTTTTTCCAGTAATACATTTCTGTTTTATTTTTTGCAGAACCTATGTATAGGTTTTGTTGGGGGTGGATAAGAAGAGTGGGGGGCCCGCCCAAGACTTCATTTATATCATCTCCGCACCTGGTCATGGAATCAGTACATACACAATTAGATTTTTATCACACAAATTTAAATAATTTAGCCCCCCATCAGTTAAAAGTTTTTTCTGCTTTTTTTTTTTTTTAATCGCCCCAAATATTGGTAAAGTATATCCTAAACGAAGCCTGTGACATTAACGTGTTTGGTAACTTTTTTTTTTAATTTAAAAGTAAAGCCAACCTTCTCCTCTCCATCCTACCTGCAGGAGCTGGAGTCAGTTTCCGGATGGTTGCTCTCCTCTGTCCCCGCCGCTCCCGCAGCCACCTCCTCCATCCCGGCAGGAGCGGACGGATCAACTACCACCTGGGGCACCGGGGCCTCACCAGGGGGCTCCATATTTGTCACCGGACGCGCACGGCGACGAGGCGGCGGAGAAATCCAGGAGAGCGCCGCGGCGGAGCTCCTGCACTCAGGCTGGCTGAGGGATCGGGTACAGGAGTTCCCCGTGGCTCCAGCTGTCGCTCCAGCCGGACCTCCCCGACTCCCCAAAGGATCACCAAACTTTCTGCCGGTACCGTTACACAGGTTAGACCCGGCGCTGCCGCTTGCCACTAGTCCGCCGTGACAGCCGGAGCTCTGGTTAGCACGGGCTGAATTTAAGTTGCTGCAGCCGCTAACAGAGGGACCGTCCGCCGGACTGCCTGCCGTTCTCCTCGCGCTGAAGTAGTCTCCGAGTGGCGGAGAGTGAGGCGGAGGAACCGCGGGGTGACCGAACCACCTCCATCGGATCCGGAGGATCTGTTTCACATCGAACTCCTTCCGCGAGGAAGAGCCCGAGCCACTGTTCGACATTCCAGGGCTCGGCTCGAGGAAATGGCGGGGACGATCCCGTGTAAAAGCAGCACGCTGCACACTTCACGCGCGTCTCTCTTGGCAACAGCACGCCCGTTAACCGCGACTGGAGGGCGCGAGCTGAGAGTCGAGCTTAAAGAGCAGACAGGATGGAGGAGGAGAGAGAGCGAAGGAGCTGTGCTCCCTATGTGTTTTTATTTAGGTTTAGGAATTCCACATTACCGAAGTTTTCAGCTCTTTCAGAACTATTTTAATAAATAATGACCTAACGTCACCTTCAAATTATACCAGATTTTTATCAATGGATGGGTTTAAAATATATGGAACCGACAAAAAGTAGAGACTGGAAGGTAGATGATGGATGGATAAAACTATAGGACGAGAGAATAAAGTTTAGGGTCTGCTAACGTATAAGAGCCATATTACAATATTATAGCGAAATATTAAGATTTCCTGCTGATATCCGTTCATAATATGCAGCCCTCCTCTCATTCTCAACCGCATTTAAAGGCTCCTCTGTCCTCTCAGTCAATGTTGGCACTTACCGTCTGTGGCACCCCATTTATCCAGCTGAAAAATACCATTGCATGTAAAGTTTGGGCATTCTGCTCAATTTAATTCAACCCCAATTTTATTTTAGACCGTAAAAAAAGAAAAGGCCCATATAAACCAGTAGCCTAACTTTTCTTGGAGAGATTTAAAACAAGTTTTTCATGCCCACATTCCTCACACTAATGGTTTATACAGTTAAACAAAGAAAAGTCAACTGCAGTAAACTATATTGCAATACAATAAACTAAATCCCCCTCAAAACGGCCTCCTTTAAAGTATAGTTATGTTTATATTACTTTAACTATTTATTTTATTGTGCAACAGAATCAAACAATGTCATCAATATTTTTTTTTTATAATTCTTAAATTGGTCATTAACTTCACTTTTATAATGCCCAACCAATGCAATTACACTGACCTAACTCAAGTCTTTCAGCCAAAGGCTGTATTTAATTAGAACTCCAGTCCCACAGAGATTGTTTTTGTAGGTAGAAATACCAGAAATGTCTTAGTTCTTTCCAGAGCCTTCCTGCCTCTTGGAAGTCTTCCTTAATGGTTTATATCTTGCATTTTAATAAATCAAGAAAAATAATCCAGTTTTTCTAACATGCTTACCAGGCAATGGTAAATGTCTAAACTGTTGCATTATAAGTGTACAGTGTTGTTCTTCGTGTAGTACTCTCCTGATCCATTTATTTGCACAAACACATCGTTGACTATTGATGTATATTATTGGATAGGACATCTCTTACAGGCACCATTGCTGTGTATTTAATAATGTAAAAAAACAGGCTGTTCTTATGGGGAATTGGGATGGAACTGTCAAAAAAAAAACCCACTAAAGAACCTTAATTTCTTGTCTTTTTTATAGATTATGGCTAAAGAAACTGCTATAAGTTAATATTTGTTCATAATTGAACAGATAAGACAGAAACACTAGTGGCGGAAAGTATTTGTTTAATGATAAATGTCAGAAATATATGATATGTGAACCCTTCTTAAACTCAACTAACAAATTACTATTAATATGGAATCCCTGTGCCATATCAGTTTATTTTACCTTTATGTAAAAAGGGAAAATTATTAGTTTTAGTAATTTTAACACTATATATCGCTGTTTTTTTTATTTTGGGGAAAATACATTTGATGTCAAGAAGCCTATTTTTTGTTATATCTTTAAGTCAAACTTTCAAAGTAACATGTCATTTTATTCATATAAGTGCTTTGGCCGTTGGGGGGGGCAGCACTTTTGATGCTGCTTCTGCTGCAGCCCTGGACTAAGGTATGCATGGAGAAGGGCTAGCTGCTGGAATTCTTAAAAAATATGCCCTGACAGATTATTACATTAGGGGTTGCACCTTTAGACAACTTGGTTATTCCAATTTCATTTTTATTTTGATTAGCTTGTTGTTTAAATATTCGTTCTACATGAGATATTACAGGTATAAAAGGTCCTGAAATAAATTATCTGGGTTTTATTTTTTATATTAAAAAAATCTGCTTGCACGAATAGTTTGTGGGATTTTATTTCTCAGCAAGATTTTTTTAAGGCTATAGCAATTATTCAGTCAAGAATTGCAGTCAATTTAAAGAGCTGAAGGATGCATCCTCCTTCATTTGCACCCTGGCAGTGTCCTCCTCTCAGTCCTCTCCTCTTTAAAAAGTTTTGTTCATCCTCTAAGCTCTGAGCAATCAGTAAAAAAAAAAATAAAAAGCTGAAATACACTATCTACCAGATCCTGCAATCAGAGCACAACCAGGCTTTCATGTCACCCGAGTGTCCTTCAAGATAAAATTTTACTTGAGTTCCAGCCACCATCTAACATGTGCTCTGAAAGCTTTTACATCATCTCAATCCCTTTCGTCTCTTAAACCATTACTCTTCACCCTCCATTACTGCTCTTCCACACCATTTCTTCCCCCTTCCTTGCCTTCATCTGAGAGCATATGCAATGGGAAATAAAATGATGAGAGGCTGGTGTTTGATGTAGGATTTAGTACTTCCATACACCTGAGGACATCCACACCAGAACGCCTTCCAGTCTGCAGCAACCTCTGAACGAGGAGAGGACGACTGCAGGCCAGAAGCCAAAGGACAGCCTGTTCTGGATGCAGTCCCACAGACCGGGTGGCAGAAATGTTTCAGGAGCCTCACTCTAGCAAAAATCAATAAGTCAAACAGCCGAGGTCAGATTGTGAATTACACAGATGGGAGCCGTGTTACTCATAAATTGCCCTTGCAGACTCAGGTTTGGCAGCCTGAAAGGAGCAGTTGAATAGGGTCAACTCAACCTGCTGCCTTTGTTTGTCAGACTCTGAGTTACAGAGCGTTGCTTGATTTTAGCAGTATTCCTGTTATTCCAACCACCCTGCTATTTTAAGAGATCAGTACTACACACTCAGTATGCAAACAAGAGAATCCACATTGACAAGTTCACCACCCAGAGGAAGCAAGGAAACAACTGAGGATTCTGGCACATTTTACTCTGACAACTTAAGATGTTGAATGCCTTTGATTTTTTTTAGAAACTCCAAACTGAAAAGATGGAAAAATGCTAAAACATATTTATACCCCCTGAAGCTTATTGGGTCTTAGTCTAACAATAGCGCAGGTAAAATGGTTTGTTAACATTTAATCTCCAACTACCCTTACTTCACACCATTAATAAACCATTTCATACACATCTATGTGTTATTTATTTCTCCTGGTTGTTACTTGGGTGTATATTTGATGATCCCCAAATTGTCATATTATTTATTTGAAACTGTATTACTTTCTAAAGATACCGTGTTTTTTCATGGATAGGTAACTTTTTTAACCAATCAGCATAAAAAATGAGTTTAATAGCATTGTGTTATCAATGAGGCTGATATTTAATGTAAGAGATTGATTCAAATCTGATTAAATTGTTTTAATTTTACATCACGGCATATAAATGGAACCTTTATTATTGCAGAGTGTGGATAGACTGAAATTCCTTTGAGCTAAGGCCACATAGATGTAGTAAATTAAATTATTTTCATAAGATTACAGCTTTGATCTCCACCTGGGCTGTTCGGCTCTGAAGCACAGCAGTGTGTGACCGCTTATTGAGCCAAAATAGCCTAAAAAGGTTATTGGAGTGGTATTTTTTTGCAGTAGACTATGAATCAATAATGGAAAACTACTTTAAATCATTTATTGTCAGAGTGGGTGTGAAAGGTTTGCACGCTGAGTACAAATGGTCGCAAGGTTGGTAAAAAATGTTGGATGACACACAGCTTAGTACATACAATGCTGGCTGAATAACAGTTAATTTATTTACGTATACTTTTTTGTTTGTTATGTGTAGAGAGGAGAATAAACCCCCATCTAGCTCCTTAATAGAAAACCATCTAAAAGCCCCCATGTCCTCATGATAAAGCTGTGACCTAATATGCAGGGAGGTAAGACGCTTTTGGGTTTAGTGAAGCGGTATCAGCGCTCAGCCTTAAGCAGTCATTATTGCAGAGTATTTTCCATGCAATTATGTAAAATACACTTTCACGGAAATAAACAGGCTACAAATGCAGCAAGCAAATGTTATTAAATGAGTTGAGCAGAGATTTGATACATCCTCATATCTGTTCACAGCTATCAATCATTTGCTGCCATGTAGCAGCTGCTGTTCTTGCTGCAAATAATCTTTCTGCAAGTCCCCGTGGTGATTTCATTCCACTCCTCTTGTGTGAAGATTGGCAAAGAGGTCTTTGATGTTGCCGAGCTTCCTCGGCATCACTTTAGTCTTTTTTAGCTCCCTTGGATTCTCAAAGGATTCCTCTATGCTCTTCGGCTGGATGCTTTTCATTGCTGTTCTTGAAGAACTAAATTATTAATTTGTTTACTTGTCATGCACATTGATTTTAATGACTTTATTCTTGTCTTGAGTATAAATTTTGCATTGGCCTCCATCCATTCTCATTCCCCAAGATGGGTTCTGGGAAATGAAAATGGATTCCACATTTCATTTATGTGCTCCTGATTGTAAAAGCCCCCGTATTAAAGAGTTATCTTGAAAACTCGTTACAAGGCACTCCAAATTAACCAAAGCATTCCTGCAGCACTTGTTACAAAAAAATGCCTTTCTACTGTGGGGAGTTTGGGAACATGCCCCTGGTGAGGAATAAAGCCCCGGGATATTTTCCTTGAGCCAACTTCTGTGGGAAGTAATCACTGGTCACTTGACAGACGCCCTGTTAGAGCTGCTTGTTTTATTGGTCTCCTGTCTGAGGTGGTACAAGTCAATCACTCAAAACCCTTTGGTGCACCTTTATAGCGCTACACAGGCAAAAACTAATGCTGTAAGTTATCCTGTTAACCAACTCTTGTATTTACTGCTCATTCATGTGCAGTAAACGCATCTTGAACACCATGGGATGCACCAACACATAGAGTGCCTTACAAAAGTATTCATGTCACTTGAACTGGTTCACATGCTGTGACAGAAAAACACAGAGAGGAAAGTAAAGTATACTTAAAGGAGCTGCAAGGATTACCAGCTCAGGTGGAAGATAAGACAACATTTAGAGATATATCCCTATAATCTTTTG